GCTGACTGAAATTCCACGTGTGCGTCACGTCAACAATGTCACTGTTAATTGGGCTGCCAAATTAATAGCTTTCCCAAGCAAATCAAGAATTAATATATGAATAATGTATATTAGTAAACTAAGAATGATTTTTTAGGGCCATAAACCTTGCTACATTTGACTCTTGTTTAAAAAATATGTTGTTCACAAAACTAGTTAATTCACTACTTAATTTGCTATAACTCGATTTAGTAGTTAGATAAATAGTTAATTAGTTTTTTACAATTTTTTTTTTAATTGCTACATTTGACTCTAGTTTAAAAAATATGTTGTACACAAAACTAGTTAATTCACTACTTAATTTGCTATAACTCGAATTAATAGTTAGATAAATAGTTAATTAGTTTTTTACAATTTTTTATTAATTGCTACATTTGACTCTAGTTTAAAAAATATGTTGTACACAAAACTAGTTAATTCACTACTTAATTTGCTATAACTCGATTTAATAGTTACATAAATAGTTAATTAGTTTTTTACAATTTTTTATTAATCGCTACATTTTTTAGATGGATCGTCCTAGATATTCGGTTGATATGGGTAACCTCGAGCGCAACCGAACGAAAGAGCTTGCGAGGAAGAGATCCCGCAAAGGTAAATCACATATCGGCTCTTCATCTCAAAGTCGAGATGATTTTGATACGGGTTACGTAAGGAGGGATGGGGATGCGATGACCGACGAACAACTAGAACAAGAATTGCACCGACATAATTCCCGCTTTTTTCAAGACCAACCGAGGACCATTGACGAAGAAGAGCTCGAGGACGAGGACGACGATGTGGAGGAAGCAATTCCGGAGAGCCACGACGAGGAGGAGGAGGAGGGTGGCGGCAGCCCTGACGCCGACCAACCAGCCTCATCCCAAACAGGTACAAAAAAAAGTAAATCTGAATTAATGACTAATAATTTTTCTAAGTGGAAGGACCCGAACACCGGGAATTGGACCGCAACTTGCAATTGGTGCAAGAAAAACTATAGTTTGGGGATTTCCGGCGGATACGGATCCGCCACAAGACACCTTAAGTCCAAACACCCGGTGGAGTATGCAAAATTAGGTGGCGGAACGGGGAAGCAAACGCAAATATCGAGGTTTGCAAATAACCAACAAGCTTTTGGTAATTTCTCATACAATGATGCACAAAATTTGACAGGTATGGCTAACTTACTTGTTGAAGAAAATTTGCCTTATTTGTTTTCTGAAAGTCTTGCTTTTCGTGATTATGCACAAACTTGTTTAAATCCGCAATATAGAGGTTATAGTCGCAAAACGGTTAAGAAAGAAATTTCAAGGCTTTATGGTGCGGAAAAGGTAAGGTTACAAAATTATTTTGCAAACTTTGATGGACGTGTTAATGTATGTTCTGACATATGGGAGGATACTTATCATAATTTACATTATTTGGGTCTGACTGTACATTATATTGATAATGATTGGCATATGCATAAACGTGTTCTTGCTTTCCGTGAATTTAATGATCGTCACACCGCTGAACATATTTATATTTTGATTGAACGTATTTTAATTGAGTATAATTTAATTGATAAGGTGTTTGCTATTGGTTTTGATAATACTACTAAAAATATTGCTGCTATGCCTAGATTGCGTGAATTGTGTGGTTCTACTTCTTTGATGGGTAGATTTTTTCATCAACGATGTGCATGTCATGTTCTAAATTTATATGTGCAAGATGGTCTAAAAGCGTTGGGAGCATCGTTGGAGGTAGTCAAGGGGGAGATTAGACGTATTTGGGGTAATGGACAACTTAGGAAAAAATGGCATGATTATTTGATAGAAAGAGGTGAGAGATATGTGGCTTTTCCAAAAGATTTGTCTATTCGTTGGAATAGTACCTATAAGTTAATTGGAGTTCTTCTTAGATATAAACAACATTTTCCTGCTTTTATGAAACAATATGATAACTATATTATAAACTCGGCTGAGATCGACACCTGTGAAAAAATTTGTAATGCTTTGATATATTTTAATAATGCAACTGAAACTTTTAGTCATGTTTATAAACCTACCTCAAACCTATTTATTCGTGAAACTGTTAATCTCGCCGGTGCTTTTTCAAATTTTGAGAATGCTGATTATGTGAGTTATTTTGCTGGTTTTATGAAGGAAAAGTTTTTAAAATATTATTCACATATTCCGCATATTTATGGTATTGCATTTGTTCTCGATCCTCGTTTTAGACTTGGTTCTTTAGAAGAATGTTTGATTTATTATTATGCTGTTTTTTTTGGTCCATTGCCAATGTATGAGGACAACCCAATTGATCCGAAAAAAGAATGCAACGAGGTTAGTGATATATTTTATGCATTATTCAATGAGTTTCATGCACAATATTGCAATGCGCCCCCTCCCGCGACACAAACATCATCTAAAGGAAAATCAATTTTCAAATCTACGTTTGCCAATCTTATTAAAAAAACGAAATCAACTCCCGCTACACAACAAAGCACAGTTAATGAGATTTCTTTGTATTTAACTTATGATGTTGATTTTGAAGAAGAAGATGATTTTGACGTACTAAACTGGTGGAAGGGAAAAGAAAGAATGTTCCCGGTTTTAGCAAAGATGGCTAAGCAAGTGCTATCAATGTCGGTTTCAACGGTTGCCGTGGAACAAGAATTTAGTTCGGCCGGCAATGTTCTAACACAAACCAGAACGAGGTTGAGCGTTGAATCTCTTGAGATGCTTATATGCTACCACGATTGGTTGAAAGCAGCACGTAGAGCTCAAGAAATTGACATCACTCCATCCCAACACTTTATGAATGAATCTACAACAGAGGGTGGCTCTACCTATGCCGGAGAATCCGATTAAAAACAATTATAGTTCCTATTTAATTTTCAAATGTAGTTCCTATTTCATTTCAAATAAATGCACTTGAAGTTTGTTTTTTAATACCTGTATAAAACTATAAAGTATAAAATATAAATTAAAAAAATATTAACTGGCCCGGCCCGGCCCGGCGGGTGGCCCGACCCGTGACCCGGGCGGGTGGCCCGGCCCGAACCGGACCCGTCCAACCCTCGGGCCGGTCCCGGGCCTATGTGATACAAACCGGCGGCCCGACCGGACCTAGGCCCGGCCCGAATCCATCCCTAGTTGTGCCTAGATAGGGATGGACTTGGGCCAAGTCGGGCCAGGCCTTACCGAACTTTTTTTTGGTTTGTTGAGACCCGGAACCAGCCCGGGTAGCTACCGGGTCCGGGTACCTTTTTTTTTCTAATTACTTCCTACCTCCCCCGCCCCCACATCCGAAAATAGTCCAAAACACCCACCCCAACCCATTTACCTCTCAAAGATTTTGAAAAACAAAAAAATGGGCCCGAACCCGAGCCGCAGGTCGGGCCGGTCCGATTTCGGTCCGGTTGACCCAGCTCGAATCCATCCCTATGCCTAGAGTGTCAACGTCACTCGCCGTCTAATGAAAAAATGTGGAGTACTTGATTTATTTTTACTACTTTGGCCGTGTTTGCAAGCGCTTAAAAAACGATTTTCAGCTTTTAGCTTAGAAAAACTAAAAAAGTGTTTTTAAGTAACAACTCATGTTTAAATAAAACACTAAAAATTTAAAAACTAGAATCTGCTTTTCACTTTTTTTACTACACAAAAAGCACATATTTTACCAAACACTACTAACTTTTAGTTTTTAGAATCACTTTTTTCGCAAAACCATCACTAACTTTTACTATCAAAAACATTTTTTCCCAAAATCACTTTAAAAAGTGATTTTTTAAAGCACAAGCTATTGCAAATTTGCAACCACTCCTTTTATATGTTACTATATGAACTATATTTATTTCAATTGAACTTTTTCTTTTGATTTCTTATTATTTTGTGTGATTGAGTGATTAGGCTTTTTATGATTTTTAAGCTTATGAAAATTAAATAACACGATTTTTATTCAAGCTCTCATTTTCATGAATTGATAAATAGTAATCATATGGAATCCATATATATTTGTAAAACCCTACAAATGTAAAAGTGTATTTTTTTAAGAAAAAATGGCCTGGTTATTACTAATGGTCTTTTGATTTCCAAATATATGACTCTTGACATATTCCAAAAAAGTGACTCGTTGTCCTTCTCTTTCTTCCTTCGATCCTGCATCCCACAGGCCCGCATCTTCACAACACCACCGCCGTGTTGAGCACCATCAAAGCACCTGCCTTTCCCCAATCCAAAGCTCCGCCTTCTCTCTTCGCTTTCTCTCTGCGCAATCCACAAAGCTCCGCCTTCTCTCTTCGCTTTCTCTCTGCGCAATCCACAAAACTCCGCCTTCTATATGCGCCTTCACTCTTCTCCGCTCCTCCAACGACCATACAACGTTGTTGAGGACTGACATCCTATGGAGCATTTCATCGCCGTCCTCAATGGATCCTCGAACTTTTAGATTTCTAGATCTGGGTTGGGCTGGTGATGGGTGGGGGCTGCAGATCTGGAAGGTGAGGAAGCGGACTACGAAGGGCTAGGGCAAGGGAGCGAATACGAGGGGCTAGGGCAGGGGAGGGGCTGAAGTGACAGTGTGGGTTGTGGCTAAGTCTTGGAGGGGGCAGGGGCTAGGGTTGATGAATCAAGTCACATTAGGGGTGTTTATTGCCAGCGGTGGTTGGGTACAATGGTGATGTTGATTACTACGCGGTGACTGATGGCCTACCGGACTGGTGGCCGCGACCGGTGGGGAGGGGCAGTAGGGAGGGCGCGGGTGTGGGGATGCGGCGGTGGCAGTGCTGCACATTGGGTCGTATGGTAATCATTGACTTTGGGGTGTTGGAGTCTGGGGATGGGCAGGCCAGGAGCAACAGTCACTGACCGGGGGCGGCGGCAGTAATCTGAGTGTGAACAGGGATCAAGTTGCTTTATCGTCAGTCAAGCATCGTAAACCGAACTACGAAGATAAATATGGGACGGAGGGAGTACAATTTATCACCTCGGCTCAGTCTAAAGGTGAGATTGATTTGTTTGATATTATTAAAAAAGAAAAATGATAGTTGTACTCACTCTTATACCCATGAAAGGCTTTTTTTATCTGTGAATCATGTCCATAGACAAAATATGTCTTATTTTTTGTGTGAATTTGCACAGAAAAGTAAAAAAAAAAATCAGAGATGAGTATAAGGGTGGGTAAAAAGGGGTGTATAAGTAGCGAGACTCGTTATAAAAAGCATGCTTCACGTGTATCATCCGATCATTAGATGTGTTCTGATTGTCATGTGCTTCTGTCTTCTTTTTGAATTATAGATGTGTGTTTCACAGTGAACGATGTGGTGAGAAGTGAGACTTGAGACCAATCCAACACTGGTAATAATCATGGTCCATGAAGGGTGAGTCAAGTGCCCATGGGCAGACCCGCGGCACAAGGCATGATTCAAACATGAACGCCATCGTGCCCGTCATTCTCTCTGGCCCTGCTTCGTTTCCATGGGCGATGTTTTTCTGCCATCAAAAAAGAAATCATCGTTTTGCAAGCAAAGCAATTTTCTTATCCAACAATTGTTCATTGTCTTTGTATTTTTGCCCCGACTCAACATTATAAATAAATAAATTACCTCGTATGTTTTCGTATCCGGACCATGAGGAGTCATGCAACTATGGAGGCTAGCACCGCCTGGAACAAAACCGTCAGCTTTTGCCTGAGAATACCAAATTGCTTCACCATTACTTTCGCCAATAATGATCACAAATTCCTTCTACCACTCACATTGTTTATTCTAGCGGTTTTGAGGCCTCGAATGTCTTGAATCACATTGATTTCACCACCAAATCATACCAGACTTTGGATGTTCTTAATTAGCTTCAAAGTCTAATCTGATCTGTTTAATTCTGGTCTGAGACTTTCTGTGCTTTATAACAATTTTTCATCAAACATTATGCATTTTATGATTTTTTTTTTGAGATTTGAAAATGAAGCACAATAATTACTTATTATAATGTTGGAAAAAGTACGAAGAAGATACCTATGGTTTGGGCCATTTTAAGATAGGGGCACATGTTTTTTTAACAAAGTAGGACACATGTTTCAATTATGTAATCACAGCAGGGCATGACGCCTAACCCCGTTAGAAATCGCTGGAAGAAGGCAATGAACACTAACTCCTATTTTTAAAAGTGCCCAAAAAATACTAGGTGGTGCAAGAAGACTTCCCGACCATCTTTGTTTTTTTTCAACCACACTTGTCGCCCGAAAGTCTACCGGAAAAGTGATATAAGCAAATTTGATTTTAAAAAATAATTCAAACAAAGCCGAAAATCCAAAGAGAGACGATTTGGAGGTCTCCTTGACAAGACACACCTAATAGTATTTTTCTTTTAATTTTTAGAGCACTTTTGAAAAAAGGAGATGCTGTTCATCGTCTTCTTCTGAAGGCGTTAGGCGCCATGCCCCTGCTGTATAACGGAATTGAAGCACATGTCCTACTTCGTTAAAAAATGAAGTTATATTCAATCCTATTTGAAACCGTCCAAATCACGTCTATTTTTTGTACTTTTCCCTATAATGTTTACATTATATATTCAATTCCACGCCAGCTCGCGAGTCACAACATATTTATATGTATAACATAAAAGAATAAATGAATGAGTGAATAAATAAATAAATGAGTGAGTGGGTGAGTAAATAAGTAAATATGTAAATAAACAAATAAAGAAATAAATAAATGAATGAATGAATAAATAAATAAATAAATAAATAAATAAATAAATATGATTATGTATACACACGTTATATTTATTTGTTTATTGATGTTTATTTATTTATATATTCCAAAACTTAATTGATAGTAGAATAAGGCGTAAAATGTGGGGAGAGGAACTAATAAATGAGAACGAGAAAGTATAAATATTAGATATTATTTACATAGTTCTAGTTATTTGAAAATAGAACTTTTATTTTTAGCTCAAATTCAAGCTCGAGCATCAAACCTATAAAAATTAATTAGTAAAACTAAGTCTGAGCTCGAACCGTGCTCGACTTGAGCTCATCAAGCTCAAACTCAAGCATACCCACGTTTGAGCTCAACTTGTTTGCACCTATCAACAACTCATGTGAATAAATATATCCACATCAGCCTAAATCACTCGAGAAAACGGACGGTAAACTCCAAAATGGAGTAATTAGGTGTTTTTAGTAATTTAGAGAATTTGACCGGTGATTTTGTAGTACGAGAACTTAATCACCATTTTGTATATAACATGAAGATTGATTTGATAGTTCTCCCTTCTTTTAGCAGTTGTTATACCGTATGACCGGTATACGGTGAGCACCGTATACCGGCATACGGTGGTATTATTTTTTACTTCTCTTTTTTTAAGAAATGGTAATAACTTTTTTATTTTTGATCCGATTTTTATAAAATTTATATCAACATTTTTTATTTTTCAAAATTTGATATATTTTTTGTAAAAATTTGAATTCAGATAAAAAGGTTATAGAACATTTAAAAAATTTGGGATTTATTAACTTGTGGGCCCATGCTCATTTTCTTGCATGCGTATGGTGCAACGAGAGATCATTCTTCTCTCCATGGTGGATGAGGGTATTAAATCCCCACTCCAAAAGAGCTCTCAATCCACTTTAGCACCTTCCAATACATTTTTGGGATAGGGTTGCAGCACATTTAGGGATGAATACCTCAAATTTGGGATTTCCACCCCATGGATTGCAATCAGCCTTAAAAAGTGATATCTAGTCATAATAATTCATATTATGGTAGGTCCACTTTTAGTAGTCATAACAAAAAAAAGATCCGCAAATATTTTACTATATGCTAAGTAGTTAAATTGCTACTCGAAGGCAACTCGATAAAGGGCTAAGAACCTAGTAGGACCGATTACTCGATGATAACTCGGCCCAGTATTACTTCAACTTAAAACCATACAAGCCCCAAAATTAGATAACCGAGTAGCAAATAGTCAGCTATTACATAACAAGGTTACATAAAACTAGGGATGGACTCGGGCCGGGTGGCCCGACCCGGAACCAGCCCGAGACCGGCACTGTTCCGGCCCGGCCCGACCCGGTGGCCCGGTCAGTGACCGGTCTGGGTAGGCCCGGCCCGTGGGTTTTCCGGTCCAGGCTCGGGTCACCCAAAACAAGGCCCGACCCTGCCGGACCCGAGCCCGCTTCGGGCCAAAACTTTTTTTTTTCAATTTTTTTTAAATTTTTTGGTTGGGCTGAGTATTTTGGGCCATTTGGGGTGGTTTGGGGGGTTGGGGGTGGGAGGGGGGTTAATTAGGAAGAGGAAAAAAAATTGATAATGGGCCCGGCCCGGACCGAACCCGGTGGTTACCTGGGCCGGTCCCGGGTCCACCAATTCTGAACCGCCGGCCCGCCCGGGCCTAGGCTCGACACGGACCCGGCCCGGACCCGAGTCCATCCCTACATAAAACATGTTCATTTTTGATAAAATTTTCATTTGTAAATATATAAATTCATTTACTTTTTTACTTTTTTCATTTTTGTTTTTATAATATTTCATCTTTCCCTCCTAATTTTTACGCTAGTTCTAAAGCACTTATTATATTTCCTATATCACTCTTAATCTCCGTGAAAACCATATGATTTCAGGTAAATGAATACAGGAATATCATTTTATATTGTAATCAACTTCCTCAAAATTCTAACCTTAACATCTTTATATTAAAAACAAGGGAAAATTGTCAAATAAGTCATGTTATGTTAAAAAAGTCAATTAGGTCATTGAACTTCAAAACCAATCAATTGAATCCTTATACTTTTAAAAAATGCTTAATTGATCTATTTAACCAGTCAAAAATAGGTTTCTCGGTCAAAGCCTACATGGACCGTCCACGTGGCTATATTTTAATGTTTTTCTTTTCTTCTTATTTTCTGTCTATACATTTCACGCGGGCGTCCGCACACTTGTTCACATGAGTTACATTGTGGATGGTTTTCCATATTTTGGACTCTTATTTTGTTCTTATTGTGTACCACGAGGAAAATGAAAAAACATTATAAAATAGCCACGTGGACTGTCCCTGTGGGCACTTAACCAAAGAACTTATTCTATTAGGGATGGACCCGGGATGGTCCGGTTCCAGTTCTGGTTCCGGGCCGGCCCTAGGCGGGCTTTTTTTCCAGATACTTGGGCCCGGAACCGGCCCGGGTTAATACCAGGTCTGGGCCAAACCGGGTCAGTCCGGGCCGGTTCAATGTATAAATTTTTTTTGGCTTTCTTGTTATCCCCCGACCCCCCCCCCCCCTCACACCCGACCCCACAAACCTCCCCAAAACACCCAGCCCTACCCAAGGAAAAGAAAAAAATTGAAAAAAAAAAAAAAGGCCCGGAACCGGCCCGAACCGGCCGGTCCGGTTCATATAAATGTGGGCCCGGAACTGGCCCGCCAGGCCCGCCCAACCCGGGCTAAAGCCCGGAACCGGCCATCCGGGTCCGTTCCAGGGCCGTACAGTAACGGGCCGGGCCGGTTCCGGTTCGGCCTGGTTGGGTCCATGCCTATATTCTATACCGACTAAACAGCTCAATTGAGCTTTTTTCAAGTATGAGGATTCAATTGATTGATTTTAAAGTATAGGGACCTAATTGAAATATTTGACTTAGTAGGACTTATTTGATAGGTTTATATCTTATACATTGAACTATAAACCCTATAGTTTATAGAATAAGAAAATATAAAATAAAAGGGAAAACTCTCAAAATATGCCCTCTTAATATAGCAAATTCATCAATTATACTCTCGTACTAAAATAACACCCAATCAAACCCATCAACTACAAAATATCACCCAATTCCTCCATTTTGAAGGTTAGCCTCCGGTTTCTCAGGTTGTTTAGCCTTTGTGAAAATATTTGTCCATTCACCTGTTTTGTTGGCGCATAATTTTGGTTTATCTTCTCTCTCGTTGGTGTATTCGGTATTCTATTCCCAGTCTGTCCTTCGTCTTCTTCTATCTCATCTCGTTCATGAACAATACTTTGTTCCTCCAACTCGTGACCAAGTAATGATAATGACTATGAATTACCTCTTTATTTCACTCGTACAATTTTTACAAACTATTTCCTTTTTCTATTTCTCAAAGAAAAAAGACAAGTGGATTATACACTTTATACTCACTCAACTACTCCAGCCTTGGGCCTCTGTTTTTTTCCTACGCCAACCCAAGCATAAGTCTTTATGTGATTCACCCAATCTCATCTATTTGGACTTAGGAACCCCAGAAAACAAGAAGCCATTTCAAGAATCCCGGAACACGATAGCTATACGCCTATATATCCAGAAAATGTATGAATTTGAAACAGACGGTTTGAAATTGAGTAGCGAGTAGTCGATTTAAAACAAGTCAATTTGGAAAAAGAGCATCAATACAAATCATAAATTTGTAAAAAAATTGAAAAAGAAAAGATTAGGAAAGAAGAAAAAATGGAATTTGTTGAAAATTAAAAATAAACGCTTTTATTTTTTAAAAGCCTTGGTACATCTTTTGTTTTGTTAAAAAAAATTGCTCATCTTATAAAAGTATATAGTTTTGAAATTTGTATAAATTTTGCTATATCTTCGAAATATTAAGAGTTCATATTTGGGATTAGGCTTACTTTCCCATTAAAAATAACATGTTATACCAGGTTGTAGTAGGTCACAGATGGCATATATTTTAT